AATAAATATACAACAAAAAATGACAACCTCACTCCCAACCCGGCGCTTAATCAACAATGAAAACAAAGTAGTAATAAAAACTAGCATTGTAAATAATGACAAAGAAGAATATGATGCTATCGATGAAGAAAAGGAAACCAACGAAGATGGACTAGCCAATAAAGAAATCTGACACCTAATTTCCTTTTAAGTTTACTTTGACAAAGTGAATATTTCCCTATATAAATTAAATTGCACTGATGATGATTCATTCGGAATCGAAATATGGCCTTATTTGCAGCATGAATTCAGAAAATAAGTTTATTTTGAATTTTAATTAACTAAACGTTCTCCAAAAAACTTTAGTGAGAAAAATCGAAAAAACATATTAACGCCAAACATTCGGTAGAATTTATAGAATATTGTAAAAATTATGGTCTATTACCAACAAATATGTATATATATATAAATATATATATTTGTTTATTTATTAGTTTATTTATATATTAATTATCACACACAAACCTTTCGACGTTATCATGATCATTATCATGCTCATACTCAGTATCACACTGAGAGCCAGAGAGGTTAATGCTGTCATCCTCGAATATGTCCAGAACGTGCTCTGCGTCCTCATCATCGTAGTGTGCCTTTAAAATTATTTAGCAAAAAAGACGTCCATCACAGAATTAAAAATAAACAAATTCCTGTGTTGATATGACTAAACTAATATATTGTACAGAAGATAGATACAGCAACAACAAAACTTACATCATCATAATATAATAATATTAACAAAACTGAAATAAAAAACAAATAGTTGAAATGAATAGAACAGTTCCAACTAAACTTATTTCCCTTGCATATGAATAGAAATTTAATTTTAACTTCTTTAATTATTTCTCTCAAACAACCAACATTTATCCTCATACAAAAACTACTTCAAATTTTATGCTATGTCCAGGACTGCACGTATGCCTGATGCATAACGTGGAATAACTTGTGCTTTCTCCTGAAGGGGTGAATGCTCAAAGCATCACCAGCCTCGAAGGCCTTCTTGACTCAATTATGGAGACAAAATTACACACTATTGTACATACACACACATATATAATGCATATAATATCATACACTTGCACCTTTTGTTGAGGTTGTTTTCTCATAAATACATTTCTGAAACTCTTTAAATAAATGTTTCAAACTTAATGACTGACCAAGTTTCATAAATTTTTTGCGGACAAAAACTTAGGTGTTTAATAAATTTACTTTGAAACTCTAATGAAAACTGAATGCGTCTTTATTAGCGTCTTATGAGGCTGAACATTTTAAAATATTAGTGACAATCTAATATTTAAAAATCATATATTACAAAAATTACTGCAATACAATAACGGAAAAAATGTTGGAAAAGAGAAACCAACTTGAACACTTCATATTTGCAACTAACCGTGATGCCCTCTGTAGACTTGAGACAATCAACAAGCAAGCGAAAGATGCGTCCTACATGCGGCTCCATGCTCGTCCTCAAGATCAACGAACATGCTGCAAACAATCCATATCTGTTCATAATAATATGGCAACGTTCATTAACATTTTTCCTCTGTACTTAGGTATCAAATACGACATATAAAACTAATGTAATAAATACAATACATGCACCATCAGTCTATTATCTCTATCTGTATCTAAAGATTTGTGGAGCGCCTCTATTGAATAACTTCAGAAGCGCTAGCTTCACTCGAGAGTGTCAAAACAAATGATGCTTCAAGCGTTTCTTGAAAACAAGTCGGCTCATGCTGTTGAATTTTTTCAAATTTACAGTTAGAGAGTTCCAGATTTTTGCAGACGAAACAGAAAATCTTCTCTTCCCAAAACGAGACGAATTGAATCTAGGAAGCATAGGATCACCATTATCGCAGGATCTCACTTTGACTTTGATTTGCAATTTCTGAAACTAACTGTAGTTGTTCCCTCAGATAAGTGGGAGCGTCACCAGCAAGACAATCTCTGATTAGAAGAGCTAGTTTGAAAACGATTCTTTCTGGCATGCGGAGTCAGTGTAAATCATCCCTGATGTATGATGAAATTGAATCAAATTTCGAATAACTAGCAACAAGTCTCGCTGCAGCACTCAGAACAGACTGCAAATCATCACGAAGGGATGAGTTGACACCAAACATAATCACATTCCAGTAGTCAATTCTTCCACAAATAAAACTGCAAACGAGTGCTTCTGTTGACTCGACTGTCAAAAAACGTCTGATTGGTAGAAACATCGCTGGCAGAGTTGGCTAATATGCTTTTCAAATGAAAGATGAGGATCCAGTATAACTCCGAGATTCGTTATTAGATTTTTGTAGTCATTTAAACAGCTGAGGCCATGCGGCGTTCCCATCCACAAATATTGAGTTTTCTTGACATTGAGTTTAAGCGTGTTAGATGACATCCAGCGACCAACCAAGTCCACTGCATTCGACACAGCAGGGGAAACCTAAAGTGATGAGTCAGGTAGTCCAAATCCGTAAAGTTGAATATCATCAGCGTATTAGGTGACAGCCAAGCCGGCTGCTTCGACGACATTGACGATATCTGCAGTGTACATGATGTAAAGCAAAGGACCAAGTACTGAATCTTGTGATACACCGCAGATTAATACTGAAGAAGCCATGCCCAGTTAAAAGTAGTCAAATTAATTAATTTATTGATTATTACTAGTAGATTATTTTTGACAGGGTGACATGATTAATTTGATTAATTTAAATTTAAATTAATTAATTAAATTAACGATTTTATTGAGACCAACATAGATCGCCTAAGATCAGGGTCAGTAGCATCATTGATGAGACTCAGGCCCAACACTAAACACTCAGGTGCCAAACTATCGAAACTTTCACCCAATGTTCGCACTAACACTCCCAATGTGTCTGTTTAAAAAAATCATAAATAATCAAAATCAAATCATGAAAATATTATTTAAACTAAAAAGACATGATAAATTACAATGAGGAATACAAAGCAATGTTTTAAACGAAGGTAATTTGATGAAATAAGTTGTTAGCTCTACAAATATTACAACAAATTTGTAAGCAAACTTACAAGTAAAAGCACATTAGCAGTGATGAAATGTTGGTGCTTCAATGAATTGTAATTGACAATTGAACTGATGAATACATAAACTAACAATCTAATCTGAATAACTTAGTTGGTGAACAAATTATACAACATGTTACTGAACTGACCAATGGTCTGTACTTGGACTTTCAGTGGTCCCTCCTCTTCAGTAGGACTCAGGAAAGTTTTTAGAAGCTCCAACAAACGAGGTAAGAATGGAAGAAGATGCTCCTTGGCTGATGAAGCTGAATAAAGATTTATTAAAATTGAATATGAATATTTATTTCTACTTTAAGAGCTAAGAACAAAACTTAAACAGTTGCGGTTAATAAATGAAGCATTTTTATTGAAAACAAATTTCAAAATGTTTTGACGACCTGTTGCTGCAATAGCACTGATAGAATATTCTTTGATCTCGAACGACTGGCTGTTTGCAATTGAGTTGAGAAGAAATTCCATTAACTGAGGGAGGTAAGGTAAAATTTCTTTTCCTGACACAAAAAAAGTAATTTAAATAACACATAAATTGTGTGTAAAAATTTGAAAAAAGTTTTATAAAATGAAAAAAAACCATTTTAATAATAGACATTCTTGATTAAAATTAACGAAGACGGTTCAAATATTCAAATGATTAGCGTACGAATAACAACAAACCACCCACCCAAATTTTCACAAAATTTTTCCATGGCATGATATGTCCTCACAATGTCTTTCTTCTTAACACTGGACGAGAATGAGAATTTATTTAGACAATCAAACAACAGTGGTAACAGTTCTTGGGAGAATTTACTGATGTCTGGCTGAAAAGGGATGAAGTAGTGATATTTTTCAATTAAAACAAAAGTATACAAAACTGGTAAACAAATAAATATGTATACAAACGTACAGGCATACATACAATATTTAAAATCTCAAATTAATTTCATTGATTTCCTTACAACAACTATAGAAACCATGGTTCATGAAAATACAAGTACATAATTACATGACATCTGCACCAATGCTTAAGAGGAGCTGTAACCCAGAAGCCCATTCACATTCCAACAGCCGCCATCTTTACATGATGCATGCAAGTTTCCGTTTTGAAAATTGTTTAGACATCCATTTGAACCAGGTCAACATACAATTATTTTTCTAACCAGGGCAAGAATCAGCAATTGTAATATTAATAATTACCTGTAAATATTCAGAAAACTCTCCCAAAGCAAACATTGCGGAGTTCCTCACTTCGCTGGCCTCATCCAACATTCCTTTATAGATAGAGCGTAACAATTTCTTCATGTGCCTGCATAACGATAAATGAGATCAAACTAAGTTGCACAGTAAGAAGGTTTATTTTAAAAATGAAAAAAATTAGGTTTATTAAATTACCACATTAGCAGGGAGACAGACAGCCTAAAAAATTCTGCTCACCACAAAACCTAACCAGCAACCACTAAGCTAGATTCATTAGTATAGTAGTGCTGATATTTTGACAGGTGGTCGCTTTGTATGGGTGGGACTAACTTCTGGAAGCCATCTTGTAAAATGGCAGATCCAATTTTTCATTTAATTTTATTGTTTTAATCACTGCAATGGTTAAATTTCAATCAATCAATCAATCTTCGTTCAACGTCCAGAGACCCAGTTCCTTCGAGGTAGGACGTTGTTTAAATTTAGAGCTTTAATGTCTTGCTCGATTGATTTTTTACATCATACAAAATTACATTCCATTAAGTCATTAATTTTTAACTACAATGGTTAAATTTCGCTATATTATTTGTTATCTTGATTATTTGTTATCTTTGTTATATTTGATATATATTTGTAATTTTTGTATTTTAAAAATTCTTTGTATATAGGGAAGGTTTCCAACGAGGTTTAAAGAGAAGTCATAAATGTCATTTATGAGTTACTTGAACTAGTTTGGTGTTTCTATTACTGTAGGTATTCAGATAAACGTTCAACTAAGTTTGAGTTTGAAGTCGTGTTCACCTATCAGAAATCTTGAAACTACGGAATAAAGATAACTTGACGATCGTTGGAAGTTATAACACTGGTGTTGGAAATAGAGATCATTGAAATTATAACATCGGTGTTATGTTAAAATAATAAATGTTAAAATTTTAACAACTAGAATATGGATATAATTTATAAATATATTAACGACATTTGACCTCTTTGACCTCAAAAACATATAATTTAACGCCAAACTCAATATATTAAGTTGCACGGTTTTCAAAAAAAATTAAATAAATTTCAAAAATTCCAAGTACCAAGACTCCAAATTCTAAAAGGTTTCAAGTACCAAGACTCTTAATTTAGAAGGGTTTTCAAGTACCAGGGTTCAAAATTTTAAAGATTTACAAGTACCAAGGCTCAGTATTTTAAATGGACCAATTACCAAGGCTGCAAATTCCAGAGTTCCAATTCTAAAGGTTTCAAGTACCAAAGATCCAAATACTGAAAAGTTTCAAGTACCAGTGATGAAGAAATTTTTAATAGGATTCCCAGAAGGCCAGAACCGATTAAAAATTTTTAAAATATCCAAAAACATCAGCTTCAACGTTCGACTTGAAAAAAATTTATTACAATTAAATTGATTGATTGATTGATTGATATTATTTCCCATTAAAATTGATTCTAAAGCACTAGAATCAGGGTACCTAGAATAACGCAGACATTGTACAACAATAGTTAAAGCTTATATGCTGTGCTTTATAGAGATAAAATATGGAATTTTCTTTGTTATATTATAAACATTAAATCATATTTGCAGAAATTTCAAAAAACAAACAAATACTCCAATTAAAAATGGTATAAAATTCGCCTAAACGGTGATTTGCACAAACAATGGAAGATTCTCCGATAACTATTGCTCTCCTGACACAACATGCTCAAAATTACGAACACTCGCACGCACATACCCACTCACATTCACAAAGAACAACTTGTCTCAAAAAAAAATCATGTATAGACAAATTGTAAAAAATTTCATGCATTACATTTCTTAAACAAACACCGGGTTAAAACAGCTGCATTAACCTAATTCTGATGTTTTCAGAACAACCCTCTGTAGATACAGCAACGGCTAAAAAAGCTGCTGATCGTACCCTCACATTTTCTGAATTCATGGCTGGTTCAGTCAACTTTAACTAAGGTTATTAAATAATAATGGGTTAATATAAAAAATAAATAAGTCAATAGACATTTAAAATAATAACCCAATTCAGTTTTAAAAAATTAGCTTAAAATCTGAAAAATACTAAAATGTTTATAATCCTATAAGTTATATTTATAACATCAGCTAAATTTTGGATAGCAAGACGTTGCGGTTTCTAGATCAAATGTGTGGAACAGTCTGTTTTTCATATGAGAAAACCTAGACAAAGCCTCTATTAGCTCAGACCTTAAAAAGGGTTGATTTTATTGAGAACAGGATGAGATTTTAGTAAAAATTAAGATGTTTGTGAGTGACAAAGAGCATTTTATATTGCTGAAATTATTTCAATCGTAATTTTCATTGGCAGTGTAAATAGCATGTTCAAATAAAGCAGTGCAAAAAGAAGAAGCAACAATAAAACAACAGCTCTTTTAAATAACGTTATATGTATTCTACAGTGATACGCTTCTTCAGAGATGTCATGGATTAATAAGATAATGCCCTCATTGAACATAGACACCAATCACAGAATCTGGTCTAGACAGCAATGCAGACTACACGTAAGTAGTATTTTAGAAAACAACACAGCTTTGGAAATTACCAAAAAACCTAAAAAACTTAAAATTATTAAAATTTCAAAAGATGAAAAAATTCTTGCAATGACTACGAGTATAGCTATAAAGATTTGCCATCCATATAACTATATCAATCATTCCAGCAATTTCGATTTTGAAAAAAGTACAGAAACTGCAACCAAACAAAGTAATACAAATTTAAATTAATAAAACAAATTAAGCAAAACCTTGAAAAAAATATTATAGAGCAATCAACAAACATCAACTACCGAATTATCAAATCATCCAACAAATTAATTACTCGCCTACTTACTAATCAGTATGTCAATCAACTGATAAATCAATCACCTTACCAAAAACAATCAATCAATCAATCTTCGTTTAGCGTCCAGAGACCCAGTTCCCCAAGGTAGGACGTAATCACCTTACCAAACAGTCTATCAAAAAAACAGCTCACTAACCAGATGTGGAATAAATTTTTCTGGAGGGAGATGAAGAGCCATTATATCAATGACCTGTGAAGCAAATGATGATGCCGTGCTCTTCTCTTCATCCTCATCATCATCAGATGTGTCCGGATTATCTTCACATAATATGCTGAAAACCCCATTCACCAAAGTTGGTATAGCATTCATTTTCAATATAACCTGTTTTAAGACATAAATTAAATTTTTGATTTGATTCATTAAATTTTCATTCATCCAGGAAATTAAAATCTTAATAACAACAACAACAACAACAACAATAATAATAATGTCATTTGTGAAACGCTCTAATTACGGTTTTGCAATTTTTTATACTTTTTTAAAAACATTTTCATGCAGTCTAAAAATATCAACAGGCTAATTATTTTTGCAAAGTTTCTGGAAAATAACCTTTTTCAAAAATAACAAGAAACATGTAACATGCAGTATAAAAATCAAAAAGGCTGGGAGTAGGCCGTACAAAAATTTAAGTCCCAGCAAAATAACTTTGCTAATTTGCATGGGAAAGTTTAGATGTTGTTCGAACGTTTGAAAATAGGTTGACGACGTTTTTGTGAAATGTTGAAAACAATGGTTTTCTGCATGGAAACCAATCCATGAAGCTAAAAACAAGTTGTGTTAACATTAGGCTATTGTGCGACCTATGCTACTTAATGCAAGGGAACAAATTCAACGAAATCTGATATCTTTTTTATTCTTTATAGTACAGCTCTCTCAAACGTAGATCTGCTTACATGTTATTCCATACATATAATTGAACCACTGTGTAACAACGGTTGTACTATCTACACCACACAATGCACATACACATTATGTATACATGTGCAAGAACCGCATCTTATGGGTATGATGGTCTTTGAGTTTCGGACAGACAATATTTGAACCATGCCATCACGTAATAGCAGCGCGAGACATGGCACTTCTACCGACTGAGCTAACTTGGCGACCTTACCTTTATTTTGTGATCTTACCTTTGTCATGCCTTTAATTAAAATAACATCTGAGGCAGTAAAGCTTTGAATATAAATAAATTCATACAAACAAATGTTGGGGACATTCACTGAGCGAACGAAGGATAATATAAATGATTATTTTGTATTTATAATGTTGAAAATGAAAAAAGTGAAAATTAATGCTAGTCAACAACAACAACACACGTTTAGACGACATTTTCCCCGAGATCGGGGGTTGCCGTTTGGCTACCTATGATGAAACCGAAATACCCCTCGACGCCATTCCATCATAAGTAATTTATTTGGCTAATTTTTACGCAGGACGCCCTTCCTTACGCAACCACAGTTATAAGCGGTGGGCCTAGCCTTTGATGATCCAACATCACTCACGAGGCAGTGAGGGTCAGTTTAATGTCATAACCAGGACATGAAAATTAATGCTAGTCAATGCTTTAAATATAATTTTTTTTCAAAGAAACAACATCATGCAAATTTACCAAAATGAATGAAAACTCTAACCTTTTTCTTTTTTGAAATGACATCGCAGAGTAGGGCTAATGATTTTACCCGTAACTGATCTTCCAATAACTTATTTGAACCTATCTGTTTGGCAGTTGTGGAAAATCAGTTATTTTTACATCAAGTTGAACATCAACCACGCCAATATGTAATGATAAATAACAAAAAATAATATAACAATCATCTCTTAGAAAAGCATTTGTTAAAGTTTTAGAAAAAGCATTAGTTAAAATCATCAATCAATTAGTTTCTAAGCAACATACCTCAAGAAAGAACTGGAGACAGAACTTGATGTGTGGTGCAATGATGGGTATCTCGCATTCTATCAAATCTTCAAACAAGTTCAATGAAGTTGATGCAAGTGACTACAATGACAGATTTTAAAGTTTTAATAAGAAAGTTTGTTAGGATAAAAAAACTTTAAAGACCAAAAACAACTTATAATTAAAAAAAATCGAATTAATTAAAAACATGAAATAATAATTCAACCTGATCAATGGGAATCAAGTTCTTGATGACCTCAACGACCTTTGGCACAAGATTTTGAAACTGAGTCTGAAGAGATTTTATTAAAAATGTCAATTATTGCAGTGTATGCATAATAGCAATATGAATACATTTCAACAACACCAATACTTCTTTTGTAATTTGATCAATTTTGGCAAATTTTTCATTATTCTTCTTTTGCAATTTTTACTAAGAAATCACTAGAATTTTTGTTACTGCAAAATTATTTTTCGTTTGTTACATCTGTGAAAGCGCTTTATAGGGCTGCTTGAGTTGAATTAAATAATGTCTGTTGCTTCAGCAATTTTTAATTCATCCCTAGTTATTTCATAATTTCTTCCAATTCAATGAGAGAACATTCCACAGCTGATCAGGCGCCATTGAAAATCGTTTTTTGCAAAAATGAGACAAATTAAATTTCAGTCACCATTTTAAAATGATATCAAGCGAAACTGTTTATGAAAATCTGATTTCCCTATATAAACAGCAGAAAGCACTGATGATGAATCATTCGGAATCGAAATATGGCCTTATTTGCAGCATGAATTCGGAAAATAAGTTTATTTTGAATTTTAATAAACCAAAAAACTTTAGTGAGAAAAATTGAAAAAACGAACTACAAACATATTAACGCCAAACGTTCGGTAGAATTTATAGAATATTGTAATATATATATATAAATATATATATATATATATATATATATATATATATATATATATGTGTGTGTGTGTGTGTGTGTGTGTGCATGTGTGTGGTGTGTATGATTGGAATAATAAAAACTAACCACATGAGATGAATCAACTGACAACAATATGTTCGTCATAGTCCTTGATAGAATTCATTTACAAAAATAAACAATAAGCATCCTAATTATTTGTATCCACATCTATACTATTTATATCATCATACTGCATAATTACCATATCATAATTATCATCAGCTTTCACAAGCATTTGTTCAATGTTAAAGCGATAAATTGCCCATTATATCATATCCAAGCTTTTTAAGAAGCACAATTCTAGAATCAGCGAAGTACGCTGTTATAACTTAGCAGAATAATTCAATACATTTGTACAACAAACGACTGTGTAACAAATAAGCTGTGCAACAATTCAGCAGTGCAACCAAACAAACGTACAACAATTCAGAAGTGCAACTAGGGAACTGTACAACAAAACTGTACAATAGCAGTTCAACAAAACAACTGTATGACAATTCAGCAGTTCAGCAAAGCCACAGCACAGTATCGCAACTCACTGAATGCCATAGAAAGGAATCATATAGTTTGTTATTTCATGGAGTGAAGCAGAACAAACATTCAAGAGAGTGGCCATTTGAGGTTTCAATTCTTCATGAGCTGTTGACGTTATCGAACTCAAGAGAAACATGCCAGACTGTCGGAAATCAATTTAAAATTTTATAACAATGACCGAGTGATGGTTGAGGGCGCCTGGCCGTGCTTTTGCAGTGAGCCCCTATCATATGCAATGTGTGTGAAGCGAGGTTTACATTATTCGATTGCGAAGCAGGTGCTCAGGAGGGAATGACATAAATTATAATAAGGTAACACATAAACGACGACATCAACCAACTTCCTTTAGAGATGGATCCGAATTTTGAATGAGCATCTCAATAAAAAGCAAAAGTTCTGGCCACCTACCATCCGGAAGATCATGTTTCGCAATTGTCGCCACCAATTGGGCTAATGATTTCCTCACAAATTTCCTAAGATGAGAAAAAAATAATGCAACATTTTATAAAAACTGGTAAATAAACCTTTGTGTATTTAAACACGGAATTAAACTAATGGTGAAAATTGTGCACGAAAAATATAATAATTTTGAAAATTTTTATGCAAAACAACAAGCCCATTTTGCAAATCGTGACATTGGCTAATTAATTACTTTATTTAAACTATCAACAAAAATTATACCTCACAGTGACTTGGCGTTCATAATAATTTATTGCAAGTTAAATTTATTTCCATTATTACCATGCATAATTAATTATTTTCATTTCCATGCATAATTAATTATTTTCATTTCAAGGCATTATTAATTACTTTCTTTCTACGCATATTCATTTCAAAGCATTGTTAATTAATTTTCATTACCATGCATTATTAATTTTTTTCATTTCAAGGCATTATTCATTATTTTCATTTCCATGCATTATTTATTACTTTTATATTCTAAGGAATTATCAGCAAACATGGAGGTTTATGAAATACTTCTAAATTTTAGTAAATAAAATTTATACAAACGTATAAAATTTTGAAAGAGATAAAGAAGAAATACAAATGATACAAGATGCACGATAAATTATTATTAAGTAAAACAAGCAATTTTAAAAACCATACAAACCAAACCAAAACATCCATAAAATAATAAATGAGAACAAAAAATAACAAACTCTGGTTCCCTGCTCAAGACATTCAACAGGTTCTGTCTTATTCTGTGAATAATTGATTAAATAATTAATTTATTAATTAACTAACTAAACATTATTAATTTTTATCGTTATTGGTCAAAAAGTTTTTGTGTGAACTATATTTTCATCGATGGTAATATTATAGGCTGGTCAATAAGATGTGGTAATATGAAGAGATTACAGGTTGCAATAATCAGATCAGTATTTCCCATTTTCTACTAGCTCAGCCAGCTGATCAGTTCCAGCTAGTTATCCAGCTAATGAGTTTTGAACTGTTCATGCACTATTAATTGCTGACTGACACATCCATTAAAATTGAACCTTATTGCTCGCTTTTTCAGAAAGTTTTTGAGCATGTTCGAGGCCACAATCAATGGAGATTTTCCACCCTCTGCTAATAATTTTAACAGTTGATCTAATTTCTAATGCGTTTTGGAGCTTTTATATGGCCATCAACTGTTATAATATGAATGTTATCATCATGTCGCTACCATTTGATTCCTGCCTCTACTTCTTCATGACCTGATGCAATATTTCTCAGGAAACAAAATCTGTTAATTTGACAACCGACATCAAAAACTGCAAATAAAATTTTTTGACCTCAAATTGTCCAATATTAATCAATAAATTCAATAATGAACTTGCATCTTTTTTCAAAAACCTCAAAACCAATTTAAAAACAATTTCAACTAGGAGAGAAAAAACTCAAATCAATATTTCAAAAAGGTCTGATCAAAAGCTGCTATGGTACATTTTATTCACTAAAAATGTTAAATCGCCTCAATTCTATTTATTCCAAGCCACACATATATTAATCATATTAACCCAGTAGCCTTGACAACCTTTTACCAAACATCAAAAAATAAATTCGAGTAAAAAACTTTTGAAGAAACCTTTCTTTTGTGTAAATGAACTAAAAACAAAAAATAATTTGTCCACGTATTTATTACAACTACAGCCAGAATGAAGAATGAAAGTGCAGACTGTTAACATAAATACATTTCTCTTAAATAAAATCATTTTCATTCTTTGTAACATAGTCAGACTGTGATAATATTTAAAATTATTTTTTCGTTTTCCTTTCATTCAAATAAAAGTGTTTCTTTAAAATATTTTCAAATTATGTTATTTATTACCTTCTACTTCAAAAAAAACGTGATAACTCCAGTTTTCTCTATTTTTAAATTAACAAATTTTGATAAAATACAAAATTCTTCAATTCCATTTTAATTTTACACAATTTTACATATTACTTTCAATAAATTAATAATTTTAATAAGAACTTTTAAAACTCTTCGGTTTTACCTTTTGATAGAATACTAATTTTCACAATGATCTTTGTTAAAGCAATACAGAGCTTCAAAATTTGTCACATGTCGGCATTCATCAAACAATGCGGTAAGAAAAAGAATCTAATATCATATAATATCAGAAAGATTCAACAAGCATTTTTTCAATCTTATACACAGACAGACAGGAATGACAACTTTGATATAATTAGCAACTTAATTTCCATCTAACAGACTGCATCTCTAAGAAAATACAATTTAAAAAAGCAAAACACAATCTAACAACGAATATTTTACAAGTACATTAAGAAAAAAACCAGCTGATTTTACAGGTGTTAAATTATAAAATTAGATCATTAAATTATGAAAATTAAATTAATGCAGTTAAGATTGCCTTTGAAACAAACATCCACAGAAAATGATAATTTGTTTGCTTGTTCTAATTTAATGCCTTATCGAGATTAGCATATTCTGTTTATTTTAAAAATATTATCAGTTAATCAATACTCGTTATCATTTCCAATCATTTATCAATTTGTTAGTCTATTTATCTAGTTCCAAGTATGATTATCCTTAAGAATGTCAAAAGCCATCGACACTGACACAGGACCAATTCCAGATATACGTAAAACCCTTACCTGGCTAATCATAACGTTTAAAAGGTCCTCAGACTGACACCATCCACACCAACGCAACGCAAAAAGATCGTCCGAGCCTACCATCCGACTCCCACCCTACGCGTATATTGGGAACCGTAATTATTGCTGCTTCCACTTATTATTATTTTTTTTGCGACTATGGGGTTCACCAACGATAAATTCATGGCACGCCTGGGGATTCTTTATTTTGAAAGATACTTTTCCTTTTTGGCGTCCGGGCCTCCACCATGCGGTTCGCCATCAATAGACACCTTACACGCCTCCGAGGATTCTCTTTATTGTGACTATCTCTTCTTTGGCGACCTGAGCTCCCTAACCCACAATAGCCGCTTCATACGCCTCTGAGGATTCTCTTTATTGTGACAACTATTTATATCTTCTTTAGCGACTGAGCCTCCACCATGGGGTTCACCCACGATAGACGCTCGACACGCCTGAGGATAAATGATAACTTAACTGTCACGACAATGTTCAACTATATTTCAAAGACTTGAACAAAAAAATGAATGTGATTGATTGCAGTAAAACAGAAGTGACCAAGTGATATTACCCTTGAGAAATTTCTGGTAAAAGTGAATTCCATTGTTTCAACTTCAAAACCCTCCTCCTCAATAAAACAGCCGCATATTGCCGAACCTAAGACGAAAATTTAATTATATTTCAGGACAAAAACAATACCATTATGAAAGGCAGGTTCGCCATAAAATAAAAAAAGTTGCAAAAACAAGAAATATAGTTCAAAAAAATTAATTTCAATATTCAGATTAAATGAAGGTTGTGAATGTGTGTTAGATCGTACAATCAAAAGTCAATGATAATAAGTTACGAAATTAAAATATATACCCATAAAAGGCTTTTTGTAACAGTAAATAGCTAGTTTATGGATGCTAAAGTTGAGGGTGAGTCCATAATGATATAGATAGTGATGCTGATATAGCAAGTAACAGAGATTATAATTATGTTTAAATTACCTCCGGCCTTGATGAGGTGGTCATCAATTGGCATAAGAGAGGAACAGCTTCTGGTTGCTTTACAATTTGTTTCAACTCTTGGGTGGCCTAACAAATTTTAAAAATATTTGTAACTATTCTTTTAATTTGTATTAAAATACAATCAGCCAAAGCTGACCCATATAAACAAATATACAAATATGATCTATAAAAATTAAACCAATGTATATTAATTATTAATTAATAATAAATGGCCAAAAAAGTATAAACTACCAAATTCATTAACATAGCAACGAAAAAATGCTTTGATAACAAAACAGACAGTTTAGTGGCAGCATCCTCGTGATTTAGCAACAATTTATTTGCATGCATAGAATACATACACTACATAACTAAAAATAATGTGGTTGACTGGAATAAGCTTTGTTAGTACATACTATTCTAGTTGTAGTGGTATTTAGGCTAAGTTCAAGATTAGAAATTAGAATTTTGGAAAGTTTACATTCATAATTTTGTTAATTTACTGATTAAACTGACAAAAAATGTATTTTGTATATCTTATTATTATTGACAAATTAGTACAATTAAATTCTAGAACAATGATAATAATCTAATTTTAAAATTATATATATCATCATCATCATGTACGTTTTTAGGCGCACAACCCTGGGAGCCAGAGCCGCCCAGTGTTCATTCCAGGGTTCACTGACGAAAACCCTGGGTTGATCTTGTCACATATTGCTACAGATGCGTTGAAAAATTGCTACAGCTGTGGTAGATGTTTGTCAATGATAACTTGTCTATGGCAAATTAATAAAATCTTTGGTATATGGCTCACTTGTAATTCTCTGAGCACATGTACATGGCCTGATCAAGATCTCCGAAACTTATTCAACAATTTTATTTTAATCTTTTGATAATGGAGCACACAAAAGGAATGACTTTAGAGACTGCACAATTTGGGCAAGAATACGTTGGAAAATTTGCCAACAAAAACCATCCCATGTTGCATAAAACGAATGGAGCGACTTTGTTTTAGAAATAAAACTTTCCTATTAATTATGCAGTGATTTGTGATTATCCAGATTTCTGAACAAAGTTAGTTACCAGAATATGTGCAATTTCAAATGACTTATTGTTTGTAGAGTAAAATTACCAATTTCTTATTAAATCCGGTTATAAAACCTGCTCAGGTGTTGAAAAACTACCTGATCCACCAAAAGGTTACTTGTATGAGTATTAATATTGTTAATTTTTACTTTGATCAAAGCTCTGGAGCAACTGCCTTATCGCGGTGGAGCTGATCAGACCGTCAAATCATTCGATCCAACAAACAGTTGCAACAAACTCTCCCCACCTGGATGTTTACGGGGTTTTTGTCGACGGAGCGGGCAATTCCGGCCATCCTGATCTGTTGTCTTCTCCTGAGAGCCGGAATTGAACCAAATCCAGGTACCCCAAAGATCTGGATTTGCCCTGGATGCCATCAAAAAATCGGCAAAACTTAATATTCAGCCCATTGCAGAACTTGCTACAAGTGGCATCACCTCAACAACGGCACAACCAACATCAACAGTTATTACTATTGGAACAACTGTCCTCATCCGTCTACAAAATCGGGCAAATCGGCGGCGCCGATTGATGCCTCACGACGGCCAACATCAACATCATCAAGCAACTATCCCCGTAACAAGCCATCAACAACTCATGCAACAAATGCTGGACAGTTAAATTATCTTCAACTTAACTGTAACAGCAGCTAAAACAAACAAGACGAAATTCAACAACATTTAATAGACCACAACATTCACATCGCAGCCCCCCATGAATCTAAGCTGTCAAAAAGTTCCAAAATGCCAATCTTCAGGGTTCACGCAATTTACCGCAAGGACCGAGGAAATAGTCGAAGGGGTGGTCTTATTACACTCATCCACAACAGCATTCCCTTCAGCATAATGTCACTACCTGATACTCCCACAATTGAGAGTCAGGACATCAAAATCAACGCGGGCGGCACAGATATCAACATTGTCGACATCTACATTCCCCCTCAATCGGTTTGCACAACTGGCTTCTCAGCTTCAATTTTGCAATTCCTATCAATATCAAACGTCGTCTTGTTGGGAAACGTAAATGCACATAATTCCCTGAGGTATTCGAGTCTGGAGGACACTCGGGGAGAAGCCCTAGCCAGTGAAATCGAAAATTCTGGCTGCGACACGCTCAACCTGGATACCCCAACGCGTCTCCCAACATTCGGCCAACCCTCATCACCAGATATCTCTGTCGCCTCGGACACGTTGATTATAAACATGGAATGGTTCACGATGACCTCACTCTTATCTGATCATCTTCCAATCCACATCATTCTACAAACAACACTCTCACTCACCAAAAGTAAAATTCATAAATTTCGCTAAAGCTAAATGAGATGGTTTCACCGCTGAATCCGAAGTCGGTTTTTCCAATCTAGTTTTCCCTCTTAACCTATCAGTTACCGAGAAATCGTTCCGTCAAATTCTACAGGTCGCAAGTGACTACAACATACCTTCCGGTAAACGAATTTCATATACCCCAGGTTTATCGAAAGAAATCACTGACCTAATGAAAAGGCGGGATAATATCAGAGCAAAAGATCATAATTCAAAAGACATTGTCATACTATTATCAACAATTAAACATAAAATAAACGAACTCAAGCAATCGCGTTGAAAGAATTTCCTGTGCACCTTCAACGGGATAACAAACACAAAACGCCTCTGGAGTACCATCAAAACTCCTAGCGGCAAACCAATTCAATACTCAAATATGGCCATCAATTTCAACAACAGGTCAATTACCAATAACCTGCAAATGGCCAATTCATTCAACAAACTGTTCACCTTTGTAACAAAACATTCATAAAACAAACAAAATAGAATCAACAAAACCGTCAAGAAACATCCGCTTGACGATCACCCTACCATCACACCTAATCAGGTTGCAGAAGCAATTAGAACATCAAAACCGTCCAAAGCAACAGGACCGGACAACCTGAAAATATACCACTTAAAGCCCCTAGGCCCAATAGGAATTTCCTTCCTAACCTACATTTTCAATGAATCCCTACGAACCTGTAAGATTCCATAAATTTATAAAAAACCTAGGATCACCCCCCTACTAAAATCCGGCAAACCAGTTAGCGACGCGAAATCATACCGTCCCGTATCTCTACTTTGCCCGGCAGCCAAAGTATTTGAAAAATGTCTACTGCTGATCTTCTCAAATCATCTCACATTAGCGAGCCATCAACATGGATTCGCCCACTTCACTCAACAACAACAGCTCTCACTACGATGGTTACCGACATCGGAAACGGGCTAAACCAGAAGAGGCCAGTTCATCGTACAATTCTAACAGCACAGGACCTCACAAAAGCCTTCGATACCGTTAACCATCGTACCCTAATCTCTGACCTCCTACTGTCGTCGCTTCCGCAGTCAAATGTTCGCTGGCTTTCAAACTATCTGCACGGACGCTCCGCCTCAACAGAGTTCCGTCGACAATCCTCAAAACAACGTACCATTCGTTCAGAAGTAACTCAAGGATCTGTATTGTCACAAATTCTATTTAACTTCTACGTCTCCAAGATTCCAACCCCGCCTCAAAACAGCAAAGTTATTTCATATGCAGACGACTTCACAATCTATACCACTGGTCCGGATGCAGATAGTCTGACCCATCGGCTCAATTGTTACCTATCTTCAACGACAAAAACTTGGAGATTTCCACCTCCAAGTCACTCTTTTAACATCCCATACATCGCAATATCATCACCATCCTTCAATCAAAATCAATAACAATCTCCTTTCTGTTGAACACAACTCTAAAATATTAGGTTTCACTCTAGACACGATGCTTTCCTTCTCACAACACCATAAACAAGCAGCATCGAAAGCCTCTAAAAAAAAACAATATTTTAAAGGCAGTCAGTGGTACCACCTACGGTCAGGATAAGGAAACTCTTCTACAAATCTACAAAACCATCGCTCGTTCAACAATGGAGTATGCCTGTCCTGCCTGGGCATCACTGTCGACAGATTCAAGTTTCTCCCGTCTCCAACGTTCCCAGAATGCTGCATTACGTCTGGTTACTGGCTGTCATGCTGTCGCATCAGAACGGCACCTGCACTCAGAGTGCCAGATGTTAACGGTAAGGCAGCATTCCGAGCAAATAGCCTGACAATTCCTCCTCTTATGCCATAACCCAAGCCACCCATGCCATAACATCATCATACAACCTCGTCCTCATCGTGACATAAAGACCACCCTCCTCTCAAAATGGTCATCAACAATAAATGCGTTCTACCAACAATAATCGACGATAATACTCTGAAGACAGTTTTAAATAGCCTACATATAAACACTGTTAAAGCCGCCGCTGAGTCGTACCAGTCGCCGTATTGCTCGACTGATGGCCTCCTCAAGCACCAAAAATAGACCCTTCACAAGAATCACTCCCAAGGGTTATCAGACGGACCCTCACCGAACTCCGATCTGGCCACAGTATTCTTCTAAACAGCTACAAAAACAGAATCGACAGGGGGCACATCAACACCTGTCCTTTCTGCAACAATCATAAAGATGATGCTCAACATATGTTTAAATGTCCCCAAAACACCATGGATCTTCAACCCATAGACCTCAGGAGAAACCCTGTTGCAGTGGCGGATTAACTCCGACCACGATTGGAATCCTGAGGGTTCCAACAACAACAACAACTTTGATCAAAGTACTACTGATTATACAGAATATTTTGTATTGGTATTATACAGAATATTTCTGCATGTTTAGTTTTGTTTATAATTATAGTTGTTTGGAAATTGGAGTTAAATGTGGTTTATCAGATGCAAAAAAGGCTTTATATCGAAATCGACCAGTATTGCCACAAACTAGGTGGATTGCAAGTGAAACATGCAGAATCACCAAATTTGTTGTGTAGCCAGCAATTCAAAAAAGTTCGCTTTTAACAGATGCACGAAAAATTCATATATGTAATGATAATATGTAAACAACATCTGTTATTCTTTATTTTATTGTTTTGCTATTTAGTAATAAAAACTTCAATGTTCAAACAGTTTTAGTTTTGTTGAATTGATTGTCTCGCTATGACTGAAAACATCTGTTATTTTTTATTTTATTGTTTTGCTATTTAGTAATAAAAACTTCAATGTTCAAACAGTTTTAGTTTTGTTGAATTGATTGTCTCGCTATGACTGAAAACATGGTGGAGCAAATCGATTTTCCATGTACTTAATACTGTCTAAAACTATCAAACTTCTAAATTTAACCTTCATTATGTTTGAAGTTTAGATCATAAAAATAAATATAACTTCAAACTTTTGAAACGTATATCATCACGCATATCATCTTCAAAGTAGTTATCTCTGTTTAGAAAGAGAGGAATCATGATAATGAAAACACGTAAAAGTGTTATATTTTACGATTTGAAGATTGCAAACTAAGTATTCACCTTAAACAGGGAATATATATATATATATATATATATATATATATATATATATATATATATATATATACATATATTGTATTAAGACTATCAGAAATGCAATTATTGATGAAAGCTTGTTCAGCTTTAGTTAATTTTCTGTTTAACTCTTCGATTTTTCTAATGGTTGATCCTAAATCATTCTCAAATATCTTGAGTTCAAAACCAAAATTTTTGTATATTTTATGCATGGTAGAACAAAAAGGCTTTTATCGATATTCCTATACCATCTTCTGTGTTCAAATTGATACGTTGTGTATGCGGCCAGATGCTCAAATATATATGCTGTGTCTCTACTTTACTTTGTTGATTCCTTGTTTGTTCAAAGTGAATACTTAATTCTTATTTAATTAGTTTTGCAATCTTCAACTTAGTCCAATATAACACTTTCACCTGTTCTCATTATTGATGATTCCTCTGTTTCTAAATTTCTTAGTAGAAAGAATTCCAATTGCCTGTTGTTGAATATTTATTATCGGATGTCATTGTTCTATGAGTATTGATTTGGCTAGTCGTAAATTATAATAGTTGTTATTGTAATGTAAGATTTTAACATTGTGGCCCAAGATTTGTCTAGAAATTTTAGCTTTGTGTTTCTTGTTTCTTTATAGCAAACCGATATGAAAATGCTCCGATGGATGAAACGAATTAGTCTGAAGGACCACATCAAATCAATCAAAATCCTGTGTCGTGCTGGTTTTTGGAAAATGTATTGAAAGGATCCTCAGTATGTGGGTAAGTATAAAAGTTTGACTGTGAAGAACCAACAAAGAAAAAAAAATTACAAGAAACAGAGAATGATGGAGCACTTCCAAAACCATGAGCTGAAAGAATTCATAAATTTACTAGTGAAACTGTGAGAAAAGTTTTGAATCATGTGTCAACAAGGTGGTTGAGTTTTTGGAAAATGTATTGAAAGGATTTTCAGTATGTGGGTAGGTATAAAAGTTTGACTGTGAAGAACCAACAAAGAAAAAAAATTACAAAGAACAGAGAATGATGGAACACTTCCAAAACTTTTGGATCAAAATATATATGCTTTTCTTTAACTCAATCATACATTCATACATGTGTTCGACACATTCATCATCCTCATGTAGTGAGGAGCCAATGATTTACCAGCTGCAGCCCCAGATGACGGCATTATACAAGACGATCCTGAGCAAGCTTGTGAAAACAGAGGTTGGTACCTAAGCATTTTTATCTTTGGAAAAGAAAAATTTTGTAAAAGCGTGAAAGTTTTATACAAATATTTTTAATAATGATTCAAAAATTCTTTAGGTGATCGCAAAGCATCTAGAAAGACAATATAGTCAAAATTGATCACCAAGATGAAAGCCACCGACGGGTCAATAGTGAGTTGTTCATTGGATTTGTTACCAAGAAAGAAACAGGACACGTATGAAGAAAAAAAGTTTCAAGGAGAAGTCAAGCAGTTTTAAGGTGCATATGCTTAGATGTGATAAGTATTGGCGTTTAAATTTGTTTTTAATGATGAAGCTAATTATATTTTTATATTTCAGTTATATGAAGAAAAAGTTTTGGACGAGGGAAAAATGTTAGTGTTTGTGCCAGTGTGTACATTGAACATCAAGGAGATGTTAGGAATACCCTCTTTGGGTTGTTGACAACAAAAATCAACACAGAGAGATGTGTTATTCCTAGAAGCCATCTCCAAAACTCCTCATAAAGACTCGCAAAGCTACCTACACTGCCTTAAGTGAAAGTAGAACAGAAAAAGAAGAAAGAGCTACAACCTAAAACGGCAGTTGAAAATTTAAATAAAAACTTGATTTTTATATATTGTTCACTTTTTTATTGTTAATTACATTTAATGTTATTTTTTTCTTTGATACTTCTAATTACAATATTTTTATTAGTGGTAAAATATAACAAAATATGCTATTATTATGTCCAAATTAGAAATAATATTTACTGTTATCTATTGACAATAAATTATATTTTTACATTTTATGTTGATCTGTGATTTTTTTTAATAAAATTATTCAAAATGATAATAAACAAGTTTCACATTTATTATACTTAATATTTTCGGAGAAATGGGACAGGCTCAGACCACTGTGTCCTGCTTTTGTAATTCCACATGTTGGCATGTATATCTCTGACATAGTATTTTTTTAAATGCAGCTGTATTTACAACGGATTATATATATTATGATAAGCATTAGTTTTGACTTTGAACTTTAAGTTGAAAATGACAATGGAAAAAATAGATCAGTTTCGCTTGACAAGGTTAAAGAGTTAAAAAGAAACAGGTTGTACAATTTTTGTGCCAGTTAAATTATAAAACGCTTCTCATCATAATCATGTTCTTTCTCTACTCAATGTGTGACATGTGATGCATACAAGACAACATGTCATATAGAAACTTATTTTTACTCAATGTGCCACTATCTGACAGTAAATTTTTAAGTTTTAAGTGTGCTGAACATGTAATGATATGCCAGAGCTAAACTTTATTTATAAATTTATAAGAGATCTATCTAATATTCTCTACTAATCTAACCATTTTATTATTATATTTTATTTTCATTAATTTAATGTTTTTGTTTTTAATCTTAACCGTTAAATAGTTAATCTATGTTGATGTTGAAGATATCTTATATGTATATAAAATATAATATGTTGATGTTGAAGATATTTGATATAAAATTATAAAACATTATAATATATAATAAAATAATGATAATCAAATTTAATTTTTAATATATCAGCCCAACTTACAACAGGAATCACAATCAATAACAACCTGAATTATAGCATTATTATCAGGAGTTAAAAGTTTTACTAAAGCTTCTTCCAACTTTTCAGCCATTTTGTTGAAGAAAAAATTATCACGATCGACGGGCTCCACGTGCCAAGAGAGAGCAAGAAAAAGTGCTTGCTTGCGGGATTATAATTATAAAATGAAAACATTAAAACAAAGAATGCGTAATTTATGGAAAAACAAAAATAAAATAATTACTTAACAACCCGCACTATTAGCATCAACATTATTATGTACGTTCATAGGCGCTCAACCCTAAAAGGCAAAACCTCTCAGTGTTTGTTCCAAGGTTTGTATAGCCTTGGGTTGACCTTGTCGCACTAACACGAACATTTCAGTGAAGGATCAAGTCAAGCGGGGGTCCTAAACAGAAAAAAATTTAGGGACTCCAAACTTAGCGTGTAGAAGCTTTGTAATTTAAATTATTGCAAACTTTTAATAATGTTGGTGCTCTATAATTGTTTATAAATCCTTAAATGGAAACCACTTTTAACGCTAGATATTCTTCACTTTGGATACATTTTGTCGATAAAATTGTCCCAAAAATTAATAAGTGCAACAAATTTAAAAATAGTTAAAATTAAATTATTCAAATTAAAAGTTAAAATTCTTTTTATTCAAAAATAGAATATATATATATATATATATATATAGTTTTCAAAAAAATCAACCGCGTTAATACAATTATTATGTTTATACATTAATTTTTCGAGTTTTCTAATTAAAATTTTATTATAATTATTTAATTTATTAAGTAAAAAACAACAACAACAACAGCAACAAGAATAACAATAACAGCAACAACAACAACAGCAACAACAATATTAATAATAAT